TTATACTGTGAATTTTCCTTTTATTAACTCTAAGTCTTGATTTTGCCATCTGCAATCTATGGGAATAATAGGATTCGGTGCTATTTTAAAGAAAAAATTAGATGACATACAGACAGCATATGCTATGTGATCCAAGTCTTAGGTTTAAAGTGTAACAAAATGGAATCCAAATCTTAAATTATGTCTATTTCAAAAAGATACTTGATATAAGGATAAGCACACTGGATCCGGAGTCCTGGTGTGGTGTCGGAGGATAAGCACTCAACCACAAGGTCGGTTTGAACTTCAAGGTTGGTGGAGCAAACTCACCAGCCGCTCCTTGGAAACCCTATACAGGGTCGCTAGGAGCCAGACTGACATGATGGCACTTCACAACAACGACATACTGGATACCAATATGATACAACCTTGCTTGCTGAAAGTGAAGAGGACTTAAAACATTTACTGATGAAGATCAAAGAGCACAGCCTTCGGTATGGATTCCATCGTGTTAGTTTGTCTTGTGTGCTGCTGCTTTTCTTAAGTGTTCTTGTGTTAACTCCAACTCATAGCTGCACACTGCCCAGTCCTGAACCAGCTTTACAACTACTGCTGCTTGAAACTGTTGTTGCAACCACTGTTTCAGAAAATATCATTGAGGGGCTTCCTTTTTCTCACTTACACTCTACTTAACCAAGCATGATGTATTCTCCAGCGACTCATACCTACTGTTAAAATATCTAACATATGTGAGACAAAGTCTTACTTGCTTAAAGTAGCTTTATGACTATATGTCTTCCAAGACAGATTTGTATGTTCTTTTAGCATTCCATGGTACTCTCAATATGCTTGGTTCTTGTTGCTATGTGCCATTGAATTGGTACCAACTTACAGCAACACTGTATAGGGTTTCTGAGGAGAAGCTGGTGAATTTCAAGTACTGACCCTGTGGTTCCTGTGCTTTATCGCACAGTGCCACACCAGGACTCCTCAACATTCTTTACCAACATCATAATTCAAAGGCATCAATTATTTTCCAGTCTTCCTTATCCATTGTCTACCTTTCACATGCATATGAAATGATCAAAACTAACTTACTTGGGTTAATCACACCTTAGTCCTCAAAGTGACATCATTGATTTTGAAGCATTAAAGAAGTCTTTTTCAGTCCAATGCAATGTGCTGTTTGATTTCCTGACTGCTACTTTCATAAATGTTCATTGTAGATCCAAGTAAAATGAAGTCCTTGACAACTTCAATCTTTTCTCCATTTATCGTGATGCTATTTATTGGTCCAGTTGTGAGAATTCTTGTTTTCTTTACATTAAGATGTAATCCATTCTGATCAATGGAGTCATTGATTATCATTAGTAAGTGCTTCAAGTCCTCTTTCAGCAACCAAGTTTATGCTATCTGCATATTGCAAGTTGTTACTGAGCCTTCCTACAACCTGGGGCCTGCATTGTTCTACATATAGTCCTGCTTCTGTGATTTTTTGCTCAGCATGCTCCTTGGAAACACTATACAGAGTTGCTATGAGTTGGAACTGACTCGATGGCACGGCACATAACAACAACAACATACAGATAGAATAAGTATGGTGAAAGGAAACAACCCTGATGAACACATTTTCTGATTTTAAACCACGCAGTATTCCCTTGTTCTGTTCAAACGACTGCCTCTGGTTTGATGTAAAGGTTCCACAGGAACACCATTAGGTGTTCAGGAATTCCTGTTCTTTGCAATGTTATCCATAGTTTGTTATAATCCACACAGTCAAACATCTGTATGATTAATAAAATAAGTAAATATCTTTCTTGTATTCTCAGCTTTCACATATGATTTACCTGGCATCAGCAATGATATCCGTCATTCCATATCCTTTTGAGAATCCAGCTTGAATAATTTCTACCGTTCCCTATTGATGGACTGCTGCACCTCTTTTTTTTTTGCATGTAGCAAGCAAGGTTTACTAAGCTATGAATAGCACACTTATCAGAAGAAGAGAAGCGGGCATCTCTTTCGAGAGCCAGATAGAGATTTGGCTTTCTGTTCTTCCTCTCCCTTTATAGGAGTTTTGGCTTGTTTCTCTCAAGTTTAATTCTGATTGGTGGCAGAGTCTAGGCAACACATATTCTTCATTTACACTCTTTTGGTAGTCTAGCACTGTCTATTTCTCAGAAAACATGCTGAGCTCAGTTTCCTGGAATTGTTGATTCAAGTGTCATGTTGGGATGCAGTTAGGTTGGCCTGTTAGGCTCCTCCTCTGACCCGAGCATTTCCCACCTCCAAGAGTAGGATGCTGAATTCTTTAAGGGCAACAGGACATAGTTTTGTCTGGCTATTTCCTGCCGATTCAGGAAGATGACCTGCCGAGTTAGGATCCTTCTCCTGAGTTTCTATTCTGTCTCCTACTCTTCCTCTGGGGAGTCCTGATGTGGCGCTGTAGGTTAATGCACTGGACTGCAAAGTCAGTTTGAACTGCAGGGTCAGTAGTTCAAACTCACCAGCTGCTCCTTGGAAACCCTATACAAAGTCACTATAAGTCAGAACCGACTTGATGCCAGTTAACAACAACAATAACAAACACTTCCTCTATAAATCTGGCCATCACTGCATCCAAGGTCCCATGGGTATGAATTGGAAGCCTTGCAACACCATCATTTTCATTTGGAACTGGTGTATTCAGCAACTTCCATATGCATGCCAGGCTCCTCAGGCAGGATTTTAATCGGCTTGCCAGGGAACATGCAGGAGCCTGGGTCCCATCAGTCTGATGACTCAGTAAGGGACATGTTCCTTTCTTTGCTGCACCTCTTGTTCAGTTATTTTCTATTTATTTGCATGTATATTAATGATATTGTTCAAAAATTTAAACTTTCTGTTGTGTCACCTTTCTATGCCATTTTGGAATTTAAGAAGAAAAGAATTAAAGAATTCTCATTTCCCTAGGACCACAGATATGCCTACTATCAGGTCTCAGAGATACTGGTCTTAGGTGAGAAAACAATCAATTTGTTGCTGGTAGAGCATAGTAAGACTTTCACTTTTCTAATGCAATGAAGATCTTATTTAGAACAAAAAGAATGACCTACAAAAATACTGATAGGCAGTGATTCTTCTTGAAATTGAAGTGCAAACTCATCAGCCAGATTTCTTGCTAAAATGCACATTCCAATTTACTGTGGTGGGACCTCAGAGTCTGCATTCAAGATCTCAGGTGACAACGATGCTTAGTTATGGGCCAACAGAGAAAGAAGATCTCAGAGCCGTGATCCTCAATGTAGTTTCTGATCAGCAACATCAGAACCTCCTGGGAACTTATTAGAAATGTAAATCCTAAAGGATAAAAACTCTTGGAGATTACTAATCTAAATCAGCTACTCATATCCAGCCAAACAGGTTACTTTGCCTAAGAATAAAAGTGCTTATTAGAGACTGTTACCTAAATAAAATCAAATTTTCTATGCAAATAACTTCCAAAGCTTTGGAATCTATAATTACTTTTAAAATGTAGATTTTTTTGTATACTGTAAGAAGCCAACTCTGATAATATGTGCACAAAATATCAAAAAGTGTACAATGCTCAGTTGAACTGCTGACCAACTTTTCAAAAAGTAGGGAGGGCATTAGCATTTACCTAAGGAGCTCTGGTAGCATAGTGGTTACAAATCAGGCTGCTAACCTCACAGTCAGCAGTTTTGAAACTACCAGCCGTTCCACAGGAGAAAGATGAGGCTTTCTGCTCCCATAAAGATTTACAGCCTCAGAAACCCTGTGCAGAGTCACTATGAGTCAGAACCGACTCCACAGTACTTAACAACAACCACAACATAAAATGTGGGTATAACTTTGTGAAGAAATAGGACTGAGTTTTACATTTCCTTGTGTTGAAACTTTAACCAACCACACTGTAGTTTAGCTAACCTCCCCAAAGTAATGTTTAAACATTCTCTGACTGATATGTAAATATATGCCAGCATTTTGATTTATAGCTATAGATGATATGTTTACATGAACAGATATACAGATGCACATTACAGTAATTAATGGCTTAAATCACAGTATGCTTAGGGACAAACAAAGCAGGAATAAAGTGGAAATATAAAATATCACAACTAGAGATTTCAACTTTCTGAATGAGAAATCAATTAAATGTTATAGTTCCACAAAATTTTTTAATGCACTGATATATTCAGAATTTAGATCCAGAACTTTTTCAACTTCCAAGTTTGAATTTAGATCACTTTCTTTCAATCAAAACGTAAGCACATTGCCCTTATTCTATTTTCAAAGGAGTTGGTTACTAACAGATTTTTAAGTACCATACCAGCATCAGGCTTAAGAGTAAATACTTCTGATCTTTGCTAGGACTATATATTCAAAGCTGTGATTATTTTCTTGTGGTCACTTAGTAATGTCAGGAGACTTTTGGGGTTGTCAGACAGAGGGAGGGGGATGGTAATGTTTCTAGTATCTAATTGGTAGAACTGGAAGAGGCCAGCACGCGGCTGAAAACATCATCATAGACAAAACAGACAAAACAAAGAATCATCTTATCTAAAATAGCCGCAATACAAAGGTTGAGAAATTGTGTTTTAAATGCCCCCAAAATAAACCAAGCTCACTGACATCGAGTCGATTCTAATTCATATCAACTATATAAGACAGATAGAACTATCCCCATAAGGTTTCCAAGGGTGTAAATCTTTACTGAAACAGACTGTCTCATCTTTCTCCTGTGGAATGCTTGGTGGGTTTGAACCACCAGCTTTTCAGTAAGCAATAGAACAATTAATCCCTGTGCCACCAGGATTCCTTGATATAAAGGAAAGAGGCTGCAAAAGTCCAGAATGAACAGGCACAGTGCACGTTCATTACTAACACAATGTTAAGCACATTAATATATTCTTATTGATTATTACATAGACTACCTTTGAATGATCTACAATGTCTTGAGAAATTCTGAACTGGATTACATTTTAGAAACACAGAAACAGACTATAACAAGGACTATAAACATACCCTTAATAATTGACTCAGCCGCATATAGATCTTGTTTGTAGGTCACCTAAAGGATAGATAAAGCTCATTAGACTTTATAGAACAGGAAAGAATATGAAAGCAATAAAATAATGCCTCAAGAAAATTCGTGAATTTGCAGGAACAATAAACACAGTCTTCAGTATGAATTGCACCTCAGTGTATAGACAATAAAAATCTTCACAAGTAGACAAATAAATAACATCATAATAAATGGAGAAAAGATTGAAGTTGTCAAATGCTTCATTTTTGCTTTGATCCACAATCAACTCTCATGGAAGCAGCAGTCAAGAAATCAATCAA